ACTGACATGAACCAGCCTGCAGGCTACAGTCTCAAAATTCAGTGCTGACAAGAGCACTTCTATAGCACCTTTCATTGAAGGACACAACCACACACCACACACCAAAAACACTAACTCAGGAACCTATCCTTGCAACAAAACCCAATGCCAACAGTGTCCACATATTTATTCAAGTGACACCATCATAGGAGCTAATCACACTAGCCACGCCATCAGGGGCTCGTTCACCTGCACATCTACCAATGTGATATATGCCATCATGTACCAGCAATGCCCCTCTGCCATGTACACTGGCCAAACTGGACAGTCTATAAGCAAAAGAATAAATGGACACAAATCTGACATCAGGAATCGTAGCATTCAAAAACTGGTAGGAGAACACTTCAACCTCTTTGGCCACTCAGTAACAGATTTAAAGGTGTCAACAGAAAAGCTTCAAAAACAGACTCCAACGAGAAACTGCTGAGCTTGAATGAATATGCAAACTAGATACCATTAACTTGGGTTTGAATAGAGACTGGGAATGGCTGGGTCATTACACATATTGAATCTATTTCCCCATGTTAAGTATCCTCACACCTTCTTGTCAACTGTATAAATGGACCATCTTGATTATCACTACAAAAGTTTTTTTCTTCTGCTGATAACAGCTCATTTTAATTAATTAGCCTCTTATAGTTTGTATGGCAACTTCCACCGTCTCTGTATGTATATCTATCTATCTTCTTACTTATATGTTCCATTCTATGCATCTGATGAAGTGGACTGTAGCCCATGAAAGCTTATGCTCAAATAAATGTGTTAGTCTCTAAGATGTCACAAGTACTCCTGTTCTTTTTGCAAATATTAGTTACTTAAGCCTCACAATGCTCGTGGAGGTAGGTAATGTGAGGCACAGAGAGGTTGACCTGTCCAGGGTCACAGACTGAGTCAGCAGAAGAGGTGAGAGTAGAACTCAGAAATCTTGAATTCAAGCCCCCCACCAGATGCAGCTTTGTTGCTGACAGAAATTGTTAGCCATTACCAGGGGCCAAATTATCCCCTGCCTGATCCATGTGTGAAAGTGTCCTCTCTGCCCACATCCTCCCCCCTTTTGTAGGCAAGGGAGGACAGCCACTTCTACAGCAATGCCCCTGTGACATTCTGTACCTCGGGGGAACAACCTACACCCCCATGTCCATCTTATAAAATGACTGTATGGTTTCCAATGCAAAGTTTGTCATATTGGGTGTCTTCGGAAGGCTCATGATGCACTGAGCATTGTTGTTATAGTGATGTTATAGTAATTGTTGTGACAGTAATGTTATAGTAATGTTATAATTTCATGTATATAGTTATGAGGCTGAAAATGTGTCTTCATGGCTTAAAATAAGCCCAGGCAAAAACTCTCTAAGAGCAGAGGAGCAGTTCACACCTCATCAAGGTATGTATGGGACTAACCCAGCCCAGACTCACAGGAACAAAGGATGCTGGCCTAGGTAGCAACAAAAGGACCTGTTGGACTCTCAAGTGAGTCACCCCCCTTCCTTTGGTGAGTTTGGGACTGTGATCAGGTAATGCTCCCCTGATTCTGAAGTTGGAGGTGGGGGCACAAAGCCAAGAGGGAAGAAAGGACATGATAAAAGGGAGAGACATTTGCCAAGCAACTGAAGCGCTGATCAAAGGGGAGAGCCTGACTGAAGGGAAACCAGGAAGCCTGTGGTGAGAAGCATCTAAGTTTGTAAGGGCACTGAAAGTGTTAAGATCAGATTAGAATGTGTTTTGATTTTATTTCATTTGACTAAATCTGACTTGTTATGCTTTGACTTATAATCACTTAAAATCTATCTTTATAGTGAATAAATCTGTTTGTTTATTCTACCTGAAGCAGTGTGTTTAGTTTGAAGTGTGTCAGAGACTCCCCTTGGGATAACAAGCCTTGTGCATATCAATTTCTTTGTTAAATTGATGAACTCATGTAAGCTTGGAGTGTCCAGCAGGCATAACTGGACACTGCAAGACAGTGGTTCCTAGGGTTGTATCTGGGACCGGAGATATTGGCTAGCATCATTCAGTTGCACAATCCAAGGAGCAGCTTACATGCCAGAGGCTGTTCGTGAACAGCCCAGGAGTAGGGGTTCTCACAGCAGAGCGGGGTAAGGCTGGCTCCCAGAGTCAGGGATTGGAGTAACCTAGCAAATCACTGGTCCAGATAACACCAGAGGGGAACGTCACAGCCCCCACACCTCTAGACCTGGCAGAGCTCTCACCACAGTCTGTATTGAAAGAGAGGGAGGTAACTGGCTAGGCTGAGGAATTGGTGCCTATTGTCACCCCTTGAGCCCTGTGGTCTTTACCTGGAAAAGCGCATACAAGGCTGCTGAGGTCAGGTGGGTGAATCTCTTGGCATGGATCTGGCAGGGATGGAGACTAGATAGGGTTGCCAATTTTGGTTGGATGTATTTCTGGAGGTTTCATCACGACTTGATCTTTAATTCCTGGTGACGCCAGGACAATCCTGGAGCATTGGCAACCCTAAAGACTAGAGGTGAGAGCCAGTGTAGAGACAAACATTTTTTTTAAAACAAAAAAATGCAACTGTAAACCCCATAAAAATTAGCCGGAGACTCAAGGGTAGAAGTACCATATGAAAGTGCTTTTAACTCATTTGTTAATGTTGACTAGATTTCCACTTGACAGTGCCCCTTTAAAGAGAGAAATCACAGAAATGTGTTCTATGTGATGGATGAAATTAAAATAAAGGCTTTTCTTCCTGCAGAAGGACAGGTACCATAGGCCCTGATCCAGCAAAGCACTCACATATGTGTTTAACTGTAAGTATGTGAGTAGTCCACTGATTTCCCTCACTTCTAGGGGAAGGCCTGTTGTAGCTGGTGCTCAGGATCTGGCAGAACTGGGCCCCCCTGGTCAATAGTTATAATAAAATTGAATCTTTAGTCACTCTAGCCCAGCGGTTCTCAAACTGTAGGTTTCAGAGTAGCAGCCGTGTTAGTTTGTATTCGCAAAAAGAAAAGGAGTACTTGTGGCACCTTCGAGACTAACCAATTTATTTGAGCATAAGCTTTCGTGAGCTACAGCTCACTTCATCGGATGCACCTCAAGTGGGTTATAACCCAATTTTAATGGGGTTGCCAGGCCAGCATTAGACTTGCTGGGACCCAGGGCTGAAGCTCTAGCTCCAGTCCCACCTGGGACAACAGGGTTCAGGCTGTTGCCCCCTCTCCACCACACCCAGGGTGGCATGACTTGGCCTGCGGTCGCCTCTCCTGCCCCCCCACCCAGGGTGGCCGGGCTTGGGCTCCGCCCCCCTCCTGGGGTCCTGTAGTAACTTTGTTGTCAGAAGGGGGTCATGGTGCAATGAAGTTTGAGAACCCAGTCTAGCCCATGAAAAGATAGTTTTGTTACATACAGCCAGCCAGCAATACAATGTATGACTGTCGTATCGTCTTGCATCCATCCATTTTCTCTTCCTCACATATATACCTTCTCTTGAAATAAAGAAACTATACACACACATCCCTTTCCCCTCAAATAAATACTCACCATATGTATGCCAATTGCCACTAACACCTGCTATATTTTTCTTTATAGTGACTAGGAATAGGGAGAAAGAATGCTCCATTGATTGGGGTCTAGCCTAGGACTCAAGAGACTTGGGTTCAATGTCCTGCTATGCCTCCTTCTTCTGTGACTGAGCAAGTGATTTGGGGACAGAGTTGTCAAAGGTATTTAGATGCCTAAAGATGCAGATAGGCACCTAGTGGGATTTTTCAAAAGCACCTTGCTCCCTTCAATGGGAGTTAGGCAGCTAAGCCCTTTAGAAAATCCCAACAGGCACCTATCTCCATCTTTAGACACCTAAATACCTTTGAAACTCTGTCCTTTATACCTTTTACACCTAAATACCTTTGAAACTCTGTCCTCAGTTCCCTATTTGTAAATTTGTGTACACTGTGAGGTGCTCAGATACTATGTTTTCTATCTAAGTACTTTAGATAGAAAACAAAGTTACAAATTGTTGACAAGGTAACTATTTCTGCTCCAGAATAATGATAGTATAATTCCTGTTCTTGAATAACATAGTTATCTTTTATTCCTTCAGTCATATTGTACTGTCAGTTTTTAATCAGAAGTCCTATTGAAATCAACTGAAAGCAAAACATGGCCCGCTATTGGGAACAAGACAATATCACTCCATCTTATTTTCCTGGCTAAGAGCTTGATCCTGAATTACTTCCAAATCAGATGGGGTTTTTTGGTGGTGCTCCCAGGATGAAGCCTAACGTTGCCCATGTTATAGTACCAAGTTTACTGTGGGAGAAGAAAAATTATGGACTTGGATTATAGAAATATACATTTTGTGCAGAAGTTTGAGAAAAAGTATCTTGGTTTTTGTTTTATAGAGCTACATATGCAAATTAGTGGTACATTTTAATAAATGGGATAATTCTTTTTTGGAATATTATAATAAACTGTTATAGACATTACCGGAATATCTAAAATATAGGGACTGATCTTGCAGTTGTTACCCTACCAAAATAACTATTGGCATCAACAGAAGCTTGGCATATGTAAGGACTTAAGAATCAGGCCCTTAAAGTGGATGGGAAGAAGCAGGAGAAATAAAATAGATTCTGACACCAAAGCTTTCATATAAACCAAGAAAATTTCCCTGGTACAGTATATAGATCTTTGAATAACTGATGATTGTAGGTATTTCTCATTAAGGTACTAGGCACACAAATTCTAGTTTAGGCCCTATTTATGCAACCCTTACTCATGTTCACATGAGTAATACAATTAACTTCATCAGTAGGATTTCTCATGTCAGTAAACAGTTACCAATGTGCGTAAGGGCAGCTCATCAGGCCTTTTAAGAATATCTTTTATGCATCAAACCTCGCAGCCAACTCAGAGTGCAGTGCAAGTGGTGTTTCAGCATCAAGGTTCCCTCCAAGTACTCACTGGTAAGTTAAACAAAAATATAGATAAAATCTATGCAGTCTCCAAGAAATTAGTTTTATAGTTCCTGTTAGGATACACACACTATTACTTTTGTTAGATTACAGAAAAAAAAATTTAAGTTTACTCAGTGAATGAGCAATCTATTAAAATACACAATATACAACTCTTTGCTTAAATTACATTTTCAAAAGAGTGCAGTGTACATTGTGGTAATGAAGACAGAAAACTAATTTCCATTAGTAGAATGTTAATGAAGAAAAATCAGCACAATTTAGTTCTAAACTTCAGCCTTAGTTCAGCTTCTTCACAAAGTTTCAGGCAATTACATCTGTATGTTCTTCTTCTTACATGCACAAAGTTAATCATTGCACTGTGGTGCAAGAATGAAAATGGACAGTTGCTTCTGGGCAGTTTAGCTTCACTCAGCCTCCTGTCCTTGTAGTCTTAGCGTGCTGCAGTGTGTTACTTGGCATATTTCTGAAAGGTAAACTACAACCGGCTCCCATTAATACTGTTTATCAGAGAGGAGAGTAAAATTCTTCATCTAATTCACTGCAGATTCTATAAACTGAACAGCAAATACAATTGCTTTTCACTACTATAAAGTAAATGGAAAATATACAAATTTGCATCACTTACTCTTGAGATGCTTACAACCCACACCTTCCCAATTATACATATGCAATATCTCAGTAAGTCTTTACCTACAAAACTCTGGAATACAGAAGGTTAGAGATGATTGGTGTAATTTAATATATAGGCAGACATTACATCTTCAAGCCTGGACATATCACAGGAGCGTCTTTAAATATATATACATTTCTACTAGGGTTTTTAAATTATCTGTTCCACTTCTCTACTGATGGCTAAAATGTTCAGGGCAGAGGATGGTCTTTGACAACAGGCACACAAGATATTTATAACAACAAGATATTTCACTCTGCATTTTGTTTTAGCATGTGGGGAGACTTGTAATTGTATTCAGACTTGAAATGGTTTGGGTTATACAGTTCAGAGCACAAGCACCTGCAGCAAATTAATTTATTGTAGCACATTAATTATCTCCTAGCTTCTATTTAGGCTGCAGCTGTTGCTATTATGTTAATAATATTTTTATAACCACTATACACAACAGGTTACGGTAATACTAGAAAATTCTTGGGGTGGGGCGTGGGGTTTTTTAATTATTATTTTTCAGAGCAAAATGGGGAACAAAATTAAACACACAGGCATCCATCAGGCATTTAGCGTTCTATTTATTAACTGATTTGAAAGAGAATGGGTAACTGAAATTAGAAAAGAATAACAATAGACAAAGATGGCGCGTGCAGAATTTGTGAAAGCAAAAAAGAAGAAGAGGGGGGGAAAAAAGAGAGAAAGAAACACCGCACACCGCAGTGCTGGGTGGTGAGAGTTCGGGTGGGGGTGGGGAAAATGCTGCAGTTTTCATGAAATAATAAGGTGGAAAAAAAGGCATACAAAGAGTAGGTTTTTCATTGTCTGTAAAATATAAACACAGATGAATTCTGTCTTTGGTTTGTTCATGCTTTTCACTCTGCACAGCAGGGATGTTCTTAAGAACTTGCCCTCTGCGAAATTTCACTAAATGGAAACCGTGGACCCTGCATGATGTGATTATAATCACACCAGCCATTCTTTTTACATAATTTTTTGTTTAAAATCCAGTAATGCTTCTTGTTTTTAAAATATATATTTATATTTATATGTCTGGCTAAAACGACACTGTTTTACGTCCTTACAGCAAAGTGCGAGCTGAAGGTATAACTGGCTATATCCCATCTACAAATCTCAATGGCTCAAAAACAATATGAAAATTTTTAGCTTACAAGAACATGTCTGCTGCCTGCAGTCACTGCAATAGCTCACCATGTTGCCTACTAACCAAAAGATCAAAAATTATCGATTTCATGGCGCTGTGTGCTCGGGATAGGAAAGCTACTTTAAAATTTGCATTATTTAAGAAATGAATTAAGAGAAAAGACTCATGTTTTAAAACACTTTGGAATGTAAAAATGGGTTTATGTTTTAATCTTATCAATGATTTACTATAATTCTATTATTTTTAGCAGCTGGGGTCTGGAAATGATTTTTTTCCGATGAATTTAGGATTTTGCCGCAGTATACATCTGCAGTCCCAGAATCCTCTGGTAAGATAATCCCTCTTGCGATGGGGAACGCCTTTAACCTTTTCGTGAATGAAAAATCTGCAACCATTTTGAAATAAAAAGGGGGAAAGAATGATGATTTCTAAGAGCTGGAATGATATTTACTCTGCATTGAAAGAACACTGAAAGGAAAACATACTGTAAGCGCTTTGTGTCATTTGAGTATCTAGTTGTTGTCTCCATTACTCATACTCTTTCAATGGTGACCGTAAATACTTACTTCTAGAGTATGGTGATAACCATATTTCATGCTGCTAAGAAATTCAGAACCAAGATGTAAGATATATACTGTTTGTTTTGTATAATTACAGACCTGCCATGAACTAATACTGCAGACCCAAATGAAAGTTTTCAGAGCAACTCCCATTGAATTTGCCCAGCGGATTCTTAGTTACTTGCTTGTGTGAGAGTAGCCAACTTTCTAGATTGACAAGAGGTATTTACAACTACTTAGCCTTTGCAGCTGGAAAGAAATCAAAAGATTAAACTGAGCTATGAGATGTACTGCAAATCTGAACTTCTCGTCCAAAAATAGCCTATCTGGAGGTCTGTTAAATGAAACTCTTATCCTGATGTCTAATATTTTCAGATTACATATTAAATTAGAAAAATCTGTCCTAATCACTCTTAAAAAACAGGACTGAAACTGAACTTTTTAAAAACACCAACTCAATTTTTAAAGTGTTTTTCTCTCTGATCACATATAGCGTTCTTCTTTCTACAGTACTGACATTTAAAGGGTTACCCATATGAAACATAAATGGCTTCTTGTGGATGGAGCGGAGTGGGGGAGAGGAGGTAGGTATTGCACCTTTGTGTCTATTGTTTTAGTTTGTTTGCGCTAGTTTTTCTGCAAGGCTGAGTGAACACAGCAATCACACATTCCTTTAAACTAGGAAGGCAAGGTACATAATCAGTAAGAGTCAGGCATATATTTATATACATTTTTAAATGAAAACTTGGGTTCTGTGGGATACTAGATATGACAAAATTCAAAGAGAACAGACTTGTGGATTTCTGTTGGTCTTGATCATAATTATCCATGATTAATATTATAAATGTAAAGCAATTTGTTTATTAATTTGGTTAGTAGTTAAAATATATGTATTTGGTAAGGGCAAAACTTCCATTTCGGTTTGTTTAGTTTTGCAGTATCTACTGCTTAATATGCCAATAATCGGATATTGTGATGAAGAATGCCTCAGCTGCTAAATCAGTTAAAGACTTTTTCAGTTTCTGAAACACATCTGAAATATACAGTTAAACTGCTGTTGGCTTTCAAATAAATTAAGGTGGCTAACAGAAATGTTGCATGTCTCTAGAAGAAAAACATAAAAATGAAAGAATAGTACAGAAAGAACTGTACTGGTCATTGATTACTATTTCTGGTCACTAATAACTATTTCTAATATTTGGAACAACACCTACAGAGTGCTCTATTTTATGTAATTTCAACCAACTAACCAGCTGTTTTGACCTATCATTTTCACACTAATTTATTAATGTTTTACGGTCTGCCTTCATTTCAAGAAGATGATCTACAACTATGATATCTGCAACATTTTTTGTCTCATTATTTTACGAGAAAAGCAAACCTAACCAAGATCTCAAACTTGGCTAATTCTTTATTTTTCTTTCTTGTTTAAAGTATCTGCTAACAGTAGTATTTTACCAAAGTTGGGTCTGGCTATCGCATTTTTGCTTTACTACAGCAAAGTTTTTGTCTTGTATTAATAAAATATATTTCCCAACTATGCAGCAAACATTACATTACTTAATCCTGTGTCTCAAGTAGAATGTTTGAACACTACAAGCATTTGCTTTATTTTTTCTGTCCTTCCATGTGTTCCAGGAAAAGTTCAAATATGTTTTTATACACCGCACACTTAATTTCAGTGGAAGAATTTTTTTTTAAATGTCCAACATGCTGCATTGTGGTGTTGCTAAACTGAACACATAAATATTAGCATTTTAACAGTATTGTAACGGAATCTGTAATCTGCACCTAAAACGTGCACAGTTAGAAGCTAATTACTTTTTACATCTGTATGGGAAATCAAAGATTCCGGCCCAGTGACTTAAATATAACGTTAATTGTTCATTCTGCTTTGAGTACGTATTAGTACCATTGCTACTTATTCTTTACTGTGTGCTTTAAGACGACATAGCTATATTCCAATATCCTTAGCAAGAAAGGTGACCAACAAAATTTACCTTTATCCATTTTTTTTCCTGTTTAGCTGCTCCCTGTTGTGGTGTGGAGTTAAAAGTTGACTCTGCAAAAACAATGCCAAGGATGTAAAAAAAATGGCTAGGAGATTTGAATCATTATTTTTTAAAATTTAACCAAGAAGTTTTCCTTTGCAGCGAAGATTTCTCACTGCAGAAATACACAATGGTCTTGCTAGAAGACTGTTTGACCTTTTTTTTAAAGAAGTCTGCAGTGTAGTCAACTAACAAACAGTTACCAAAGCAAATCTATTAAAGTACTAATCAGGTCTTAAGAAACTTTTAAAGCTATATATATATATATATATATATATATATAATGAATGCTTGTGGGCTGGGAAGACAATAAGTAGACATTGTATATAGTCTATTGTTTATTGTAAATTCATTAACTGAAGCCCTGCATTCTAATAGCCAAGACAAAATGTTTCCCTTTTGCTATACCCTACCCTCTTTTAGAAACATTTGTAATAAAACACAGTGATATTACAAGTTAAAGTAAATTGCAATTGTAAGACTTACATATAGCTATCAAAGCAATGGCTCTTCTCAGCTAGCTCCACAAAACAGAAAGTATCTAGTAAATAGTTAACTGCTCACTAACTAAATAGTGCTAAACCAAACCAAATCAAAATATTAATTGCCTGTGCCTCCATACAAAACATAACAACTCTGAAATAAACCAAGTACAGATTAAATGGCTTAAAATATACAATATTATAACTCCTCTTCAACTCACTATAAGGCAACACAATCTGCTGAAGGCCTTCTGATATTTATAATTTTAAAAAGTTTTTAAACCTCCTTTAAAAGAGGATCATTCCAATGTTCCTCCTCATGTCAAAAAGAAGAGCAGTCCACAGTCCTGAGGCCAGAAGCAAACAGACTACCCTTCCTGGAAAATCCAGGCTCCAGCAGCCCTGTCCCCTCAGGCCTCAGGGGGTAGGACAGCACACAAAGAGACTCTGAAAGGTATCTGGGACCATGCAGTGCATCAAGGGCATTTGACTGATTCTACTGTTGTTATCAAGGACCCAAAGGAATTGCTTGTAGTGAATTTGATAACACTTTCACTGAAACAGCACCTTTCATCTAAGAATCTAAAAGGTGGGTCAGTCAGTAATATTATCCCCATTTTACAGAGGGTGAAGCCAAGGCATACATGATTGATACAGGATTTGCCCAAGGTCATGCAGCAAAGCAGTTGGGGGAAAAAGGAGTTTCACAAAGAAGTAAGCTCTTTTGCCTCTAGCCTCCAACCTAACCCCCAAAACCACGCTGCCTTGGAGAGATATCATAAAGCAGAATGAAAAGACCTGATGCAAACTGCAATGCCAGTAACGGTGAAACCTTTCTGCCTACAGTAGAATAGTTTTATTGAACAATAGAGGCTACCTCCTGCTGGAAGTCAGCCAGAGTCTGAGTCTCAAACCTTCAGGTCATGATCCAAGAAGAATGTATTTTGCCTGATTCTTGTATTTTGTTTCTTATGAGGTTATTGGGGTGGGTCTTTCAGTCAGGATATTCAAAGTAGCCTGCTGTGCAACAGGAGCTATATATTAGCAGCAATATATTAGCTAATGAAAGTGGGTCCCCAGTACTTCCTTAAAATGGGAGGCGTAAAGCCCTAACTGCAGGATTATGCACACAGCACATAGAGGCGAGGAGTTGTGTTTTGGAGCTTGGACAGCTTCTGGGAGAATGGCCCCAACAGGCCAACGGCCGCCAGCGCCAGGCTGAAGATTGTTGCATGCCCTAAAATGGAAAGTAAAAACAGAGGCCGTTAAAGAGCCAATACCTTGAAAGCCCATTAACTTATAACAGTAACTTTAACTCTCCCCCAGGTGAGAAAGCCTCTGCTTTCGTCCTACCCCCGCTCTATTCTGCGGGTGCCCAGCGTTACCTGCCCGGGCAAAAGCGTGCGAGGAGGGGGATGAAAAAAGGGAAGTCGAGGGAGAGAGGAGGCCGCCTTCGCTTCCCCACGTGGCCTCCTGGCACCCAAGCGCCGCTCGCCATTCCAGCCCCGAACCCCACCCCTTGGGATGAGCGAGGCGGAGTCCGGGCGGATGCGACAGGACCCAAGGAAAACACGGGGCCGAGCGGAGTCAGGGACAAGGCGCCCCTAATGACCCGGACGCCCTGGCACAGGAAACGCGAGAGCGGGAGCAGTGGGCGATCCACTTTCGTTCTTTCCTCTGGAGAAGACTTTAAAGCATCTTCCCTTCCGACACCAACAAGCGTGCGCGGTGTGAACGCTCCTCGAGGCGACGCTGCAAACAAAGTCCATATTTAGGCAGTTTTGTTTGCCTGAAATATACTTTGTCGGTGCAAAATCTCGCGTTTGGAGAGATTGCACAATAAATCTCGCCACTGCAAAATCAAGTGCCTATTTAAAACATTCCGCTCGTGCAAGATCCCGCATACAAAGAAAGAGCCGCCTATGTGTAAAAATATGCTTTGCTGGTACAGGATCAGGTAGGAGCAGAAAGAGCCTACGTGAATTATATCCAGTTCAAGATACAAAGAAAGAGGCCCTATTAAAGAGATGCTGCTAGTGCAATATGATGTACGAAAAAAACCCCAAAACCCTATATGAAACACCCCAATGCAACACCGTGGGTACAAAAATGAACACAACAACCCACATAGGTGAAACATAGTTTGCTAATGCAAAACCATGGATTAAAAAAAATTCACATCTTTTCCTAGCCAACTACGGTGTTGTTTTATTTTAACATAAACTCTTTATTTGTAACCGTGATCTTGCACTGGAGTAGGTCTCATATTGGCTTTTTTAAAATATGGGTTTCAGAGTAACAGCCGTGTTAGTCTGTATTCGCAAAAAGAAAAGGAGTACTTGTGGCACCTTTTAGTCTCTAAGGTGCCACAAGTACTCCTTTTCTTTTTTTAAATATGATAAGCATATTCTGCCAGTGCAAGATGGTACATGCCAAAGTGTGTAAAACAGTTTAAGATACACGATCCTGCATGCAGAGGCTGAAATACATGTGCAAGATCGCAGAGTGGTAGCTGTATCAGGAAAAACAACGAGGAGTACTTGTGGCACCTCAGAGACTGACAAATTTATTTGAGTGATCCTGCATGCAGTGGAAAAGCTTGTGTAAGTCATAATATTTTCCTGTTTTTAAAACTCCTTCAGAAGGCGAAAAATCCGAGTTTTCGCCCACAAAAACCATTGCATAACTATGATACTTTCTTTGGCAACTGCTTCCTGACAAATATTTATAAAGGAATTGCAGAACGCGTTTCCGCCTACGTGAATGCGTCTCATAACCACCTTCCCCAGAACTCACTGCCACTAATTGTTTAAAGGAGTGGCGGACAGGAAAGCAGGGCACCCTGTACCTCCACCAGGGCAAAGTGTGTGCGGACGGGGGGCGGGGGTCACCGCCTTTTTTGCAAGCCTTTCTCTGAAACTATTAGTTCTGTCTGTTGTAAATCAGAAAGTTTTCAGTGCTGCCGGAAACGCAAAGGAGCGGAGGGATTATTATTGGCACTGGTCTCCACAACAAGCATTTGGGAAACACTACACCACTTTCTATGGTTGCATGTGAAGCCCCCCCTCACCCCAGCTCGCAAATCCTAAATTTGTTATGGGGGGGGGAGGAGTGAGGGGACCCAGATCGCTTGCCAAGGAGTTACTGCCCCTTTAAGAACAACACCACACGGCTGCTCCCCCACCCCCCGGCAGCAACTTCTCTCCCCAGGCAGGAAGGAACCAGTCCCGCTCCCAAGCTCCAGAGTGAGGTGTCTCCGCCGCCCCCACCCCGGCCTCATCACACCTCCCTAGCTGCTGGATCACTGCTCCCATCCTGCCTTGTTCTCCACAGCGCCCCCCGCTGTGGCCCCAGGCTCCCCCCTCACCCCCTCTGCCCTGCAACTCCACTCGCCTCCCCCCAGCGCCCTCCGCAGGGGCCAGCGACCCACCGCGGGCGGCGCACAGCTGCCCTTCGTCTCCCTCCGCCCTGGGAGCCGGGCACTATTTCTCCTCCCCCTGCCCTGGCGCTGGGTGCCTGTGGAATGCTGCGCGCCGAGCCCGGCAGCGGCGGCAGGATACAGCCGAGCCTTGGCTTGCCTATAAGAACCTCCTTGCGAGCGACGCCATTTTAAGCCTCTCGCTCGGTTCGGCGGCAGAGCAGCGGCAGGGGAAGCGCCCGGCGCGGACCGACGGAGCCGCAGGCAGCGACCGGGGCTGGGGGAACCCTGCGCTCTTGCCTCCCCGCAGTGTCAGTGGCGCTTTCTGCTGAATTCCCGCTTCCTCCCCGGCGGCGGCGGCGGCACTGGGTTTGCTCCCAGCCCGGCGGGGGCGCTGGTCGCGGGGGTGGGGGGCGCCCGCCGGGGGTGCGGGAGCCGGGGTGGAGGTTTCGCGCTGGGCCCGGCCCTGGGACGGAGGGGTGCCGGCCCCCGGGGGCGGCAAGGGAGCGCTGCCTGGGTGGGGAGCTGCTCGGACGCGGGGGCTCTTGATTTGGGCGGCCCGGACAGTTGCGTGGCTGGGGAGGTAGGCGGCGGCAGCTGCGGCTCCGAGGCGCCTCTCGGGTGGCTGGTGCCGGGTTGTGGGAGGCTGCCGGGGCTCTGCCTGTGGCGGGGCGAGGCGAGTTTCCTGCACCCCGGCTTTGGGGTGGGAGGCTCGTAGCCGAGCCTGTGGGTTCCAGCCGGGCTTGGAGCAGTGTCGGGCCGATTTGGGGAGGCGCTGGCAGGCTTTCGAGCGCGGCTCCGATAGCAGGAGGGGGGGCGGGCCGCGGGTTCGGGTTTGTTTGTACTGTGTAATTATCCAATAACTAATCTGCTGCTTAACTGCAGGGGCTGTTATCTGTTGCATTGTGGGCTTTTGTCTCAGCTGCATGTGTGTTTTGCAGGAGAGGCTCCTGTTCGTATCTGTGCCGCTGCTGGGTGTCTTGAGTTCAAGCTGCTCCGGAGCTGGGTGTAACCAAAGCGAGTTTAAAACACCCCAAGTAGCTGGAGTCTCGTTAAAGAACGAGCTAGGCGGCTTGGGGCTCTCCTACGTGGGGAGGAAAACTTGCTGGTTTTGCACTGGGCCACTTCAGAATATGCAGTGTGTTGTGGGGGTTCGCCTGCAGAGCTGATTCTTCGGAGGGGAGGTGGTCCATGGACCAATTCTACTGTTCCTGGTGGCTTATATGAAACTTCTAAACGCTCAGGCATCTTTCCTGTTCAGAGCTTTGGGCTTTTCCAGGTTGTCTTTTGCCCAAACTGATGTCTGAGTTAGGATTTATTTAAAACGTTGGTCATTCTTGGGACAGCTAGGCTTAAAAAACAAAATTTCACCTGGTCTTGGCTCTTTCATTAAAAGAAACTTGATTTAGTTTAAAAAAAAAACACTTGCAGTTTTTCTAAATGTGTGTTTAGGGAAGAAGTGGATTTCAGTATGATTTTTGGAGGAAATTCTACAGCACCTGTATGCTGTGATAACTGCTTATGGGTTGTGGGTTTCTTGGGGGTGGGGGGGATAGTAACACTTTTTTTTAATCTTTTAGCTGTATTTTCTTGAGCTCTCCTATATGGAAGGACTCTCTTGTTTTGGTACTCTATATCTTCCAGACATCTGTGGTCCTCCCCTCCCCCAAAGTATGCATGCGAGTGGTGAATGGAAAGAGGCTGGGCTGGTATGCTGAGCCAGTGGAAGGAAATCAAGGAGGGGTTTTAGTAAAATTGGGAGCTTTGTTTATGAGAGTGTAGTAGATGAGAGTATAGTAGACTCGGTTTAGAAAGTGACCAGAATGAATAGGAGAACTTCCTCTAATCTTAAAAAGTTATTGCAAGATGTGTACTCTTCTGTGTTAGGGTTTATCACTTGGCATGCAAAGTCCAATTGACCGCTAAAAGCCTTGACTGAATTTAAGATGTTTATTTGTTCTGGTTACCTGTCTTAAATGTGGTAAAATGTGCTATAATTTTAAATAGGCCAAGATTTTCAAAAATATGTGACTTATCTTCCAAAAGTACTAGTCTGCAAATCCCATTAACATCAATAGCAGCTTCTGGATGGTGGCACTGTTTGAAAATAAAAAATGTGGCTTTAAGAGCTGAACTGCATGAACTTAATTTTGTTATTGTATACATCACGTGTATGTACTGTAAATGCAAACTATTTTCTTAAATGTAGGAGGCCAGTGTTTGACTTTGCTGTTTTTATTCAAGCAGTCTTCAAAATTTAATAGTGAAGAGGCTTGAGTCTTTAAGCTGATCCTCTTGGTGTAAATGGGTAGTGGTTTGAGGAATTTCACATAGGATTTTCGCCCTCTCAGGAAAGGGCGGGATAGAAAATGGCCTCTAGAATGAGACAAAAAGCTTAAGTAAAGATGTAACACAAGATTTAATACAAGGTAAGGCTTGACCCGCAAGTTAAAAGCACCCTGTCAGTTTAATTGTAACTCATATCTGTTACACCTTAAAACTAAAATTCTAAAAACTTCATACCGTTTATGCCTTCAACTCTTGTGCAACAAAAACTGGAGTTAGCATGTACTACTAGCATAATGCTAAAGTGATTGTTGCAGTGATTACATATAGCAGTCTTTCTGGTATCAGAGGGGTAGCTGTTAGTCTGGATCTATAAAAGCAGCAAAGAGTCCTGTTTCAGAGTAGCAGCCGTGTTAGTCTGTATCCGCAAAAAGAAAAGGAGTACTTGTGGCACCTTATAGACTGACAGACGTATTGGAGCATAAGCTTTCGTGGGTGAAGACCCACTTGGTCTGATGCGTGTAGTGTAGTCTTTCTGGGTTAGATTTTCTGAAATTTAAGCTTCAGACCTAACAGTTTTTCTTTAAACATAGGATTGACTGTATGAAATGATTCAAATTAATGAAAGGGAGAAAAACATCCATCAAAGATAGGTTTCAGAGGAACAGCCGTGTTAGTCTGTATTCGCAAAAAGAAAAGGAGTACTTGTGGCACCTTAGAGACTAACCAATTTATTTGAGCATGAGCTTTCGTGAGCTACAGCTCACTTCATCAGATGTGATCCATCCATCAAAGAGTCCAAGATAGTG